TTTGACACTCAGAAATAGTAGGGCTGGAGACCATGGGCTTTTTTCTAAGTAGTTCAGTGTAAATAAGCATACTGAAAGAATGGTTTTGGCTGCAGTGAGATTGTATTAATCAGATGCCCCACACACTTGAAAACTGCCTCTATCATCTCTGCCAATATTCAATTTCAATCATCTATATCAAACTTAGGTTGTTCTCTTTAACAGGTTCTGAGGGCAATGTGATATTTTTTTCTTAGTCTGTGCTATTAGCTTGTTCTGCTCTGTGTTTCTTTTATGCATAGATGTTATTTGTTATTCATTATGTTATTCTTGCATAAGCTTTAATACCTTAGTGAATGATCCAAAGACACAGGGGAAAGAAAATAGAACATTTTTTTTTACACTTGCAAAGATACATTTTATTCTAGAATACTTACTCAGGTATTTAGCATTGCAAAAAGAAGAAACCAAATGAAACATTTAGTGTGTTTGTAAAGTGTTTGTAGTAAGTATAGAGATTGGATAATGTATCAGATCTGATGACCACAGTTTTATGACTCCCAAATAATGGTTAATATTAGAATAGCTTATTTCTAACTGAAAAAAATGGAAAAGAGTCATTTGAAATGTAATGTTATTCCCTCCTTAATCCATATAATTTCAATCAGTTGGGAGATTTAAACCGCTAGGAGTTAGATTATAGAGTAAAAGGCAAAGTCACTGTAGTTTTACCTTATTGTAAATTTGAAAAAAGTTGGTTAAAAAACTTTTACGGTACACATTACAAAAATGTAGAAATATTATCATGATTATGACAGCTAAAAATTACTCTAGGTAGTCTCTTCATTTTATAAAGATGGATATAATGGAAATTGACCAAAGGAGTGTTAATGAATTAATGAATGCTGATGTTTCCAGAGCTATAATTTGTGACTAACTAACTCCAATTCTACGTTCTTACTGTTTTGCAACTTTGTTTCAGGAATGTGGAAGATGTCTATCCATACTCTAATTCCTATTATTAAAATCTAAAACCAAATGAGCAAAAACTAGTATTATATTCCTGAAAATTCAGGTTTTCAAATGATTTTTAATGGAATATTTATGATCTAATTTATATGCAATGCCTTCTAGTCATTCTTTATATTGTTAATGCTAATTACAAATGTCTAATTGATAATTAAATAATTTATCATCTTACTAATGTTTAATATATATATTTCATTTATAGAGTAACTTTTTTTTTACTATATTTTAGTTCCCATACATTCATTTATTTTTTAAATGGTCTATTTATTTGGAATACAGAGTTTTAGAGAGGGGAAAAAGATAGCGATTTTTTCACGTGCTGCTTCTCTGCCCAATGGCCACATTGACAATAGCTGGAAGCCAGGAGCCAAAAATCCAACCTACATGGAGGGCAGAAGCAAAGTGCTTGAATCATGTGCTGCTGTTTTTGCAGCCCCTGTAGCAGGGAGCTGGATCAGAAGAGAAGTAGCCTGGACTGAAGGCAGTGATGGCATAGAATGTTGGCATAGCAGGTGGTGGTTTAACCCATTGCATCCCAGTGCGGACTTCAAGTTGTTTCTTAGAATGCATCAAAGAAATGTGTTTTTCTCGCCAGTCAGTAACTGAACCCTTGTATATTACTCATATAGTACCTTCTACCTGAAAACTTCCAGATGTGTGATCGTTTATCGTTGCCCTTCCTGTGGCCTCTTGCTAAGCTACAAGAGAGAAGAGACACAGTATGATAGGATAGACTTCTTTTAGCCACTTAAGATGAATCCTCTTCTCCAGATGTGATCATGTATCCCTCTGAAATATACATTAAAGCCTTCAGTTTGTAAGTGATAGTGGACTTTCAACCATTAAACTCTTTCAAAAGTGTTTTCAATATTAATTATATCTTAGATACTACAGGAAATAAGTTGTTTATGTACTGCCTGTAATAAATTACCTTATTATAGCTCAAATACAGTCTGCAGTAAAGATATTTACTTGCATTACATGCAAAATAAATTTTAATTAGCAATAAATCAAATTATATGATAATTGTTTTACTGTATAAAATGAGGAGAATCACTTTTTATTAGGTGACATTTGTAAAATCCTTATAAGTACAGCCTCCAAACTTCCCCATTTTAAAAAAACTTGTAAAGAACTCATAACACTGTTAATGATTTTATTAATTTATATCTAAGAACATTCAAATGTTCTTAATGTAAATTTAATGCTGTAATGGGTGGAAAATAGAAAATATTTTATTTCACATTTAGGGTTTACTATTGGATTAAAATTAGTAAAATAGTATATTTTATATGATGATCAGTAATCATTATTTTCAAAGTAAGATATTTAAGCACACTAAGCTATTATTAATTCTAGCGTTAGTGAGATAGTTCCATTCCAAACTTTTACTTCACAGTTAGTTCTGTTATTTTCTGCCCACATGGTATGACTTCCTGGAATCATGTCTCAAATTTTTTGTATTCAACTTTGCTTCAACTTTGCATCTTTGGTAAAGTTATGGAACACCCACAGTCACACTAATAGTTCCTCAGTGATTGTTTCAAAGGCTTGATAAAACTATTTTATATAAACAGTGATTTCTAAATGTGCACTAAACCACATGGAATGTTGAAATAATGACTAATACTATGGAAGTGTGCAATATTATGTAGTTACCTAGCCTTCTGAAATAAATGATGGAGAGATAAGTTGTCTTGGACTTTGGAGAGCAAGCCATAAGAATGATTGGCCACTACATATTTTCCTGGAGAGTCAAGGGGGTTCACTTGTAATTTTGAGAAATATTAATTTGAAGATGTTTTTGGTGATAGATTAAAATAATCTAGCTTTTCGTTGGTGATAAATACAGCTGTTAGTCATTTATGGAAGGTAAAAATGAATTTTAAAATCGTTTCAGAATGTATTTTAATTAAGCTCCCAGTGTCTTCTTTACAGGACAAAGATTTAGGTGTAGCCGTATCAAAAATCAAGTAATCCTATTTGAATAAGTGTGCTGTTATTCTTACAGGATTCAGTCACTTGGAACTATTTCAGACTGTTTGGAGCCAGTAGCTCTGAAGAAATATTAATCAGTGTGTAAATAACCATTCACCTTATGAAAATTCAAAAGCCATGAAACAATTGACATCAGAATATGAACAGGAATATTAATTTGAATAAACTGAAGACATTTTCATAATAAATTAAGAATATTTTGAATTGTTTTTACTTCAATAACATATTACAACTGGTTACGATGATTTGACTTTCTCAAAGCTCAAACAAATTATTGAGGTTGTAGCTAGAGTGTCACCCCACAGGCAGAAGGGAGAGATCAGCTGTTTACACATTTTCTGTTTTGCATATGTCTTTCTGTAAATGTAATTCACTTTTTTTCAGTAACTGTTTTTGTCGCAGTTTCTAATTGCTTCCATGTAGTATTTTGCTCTGTAGTACACCTCTTGGCTCTTAATATGTTGTCAAGTAATTTAAGTTTGTAAACTACCTTTTGAAATACTCCATTTAACTATCCTATGTAATTACAGTTACCCTCTGTTGCCCATGAAATCAGCATTTTTATAGCAAGTTATGTAGTACTGCTTAATTCACATAAAGGTGCTATTAGGGATTGAGATTTTTGTCTAACTTAGTGAAATTAGACAAAGTGAAACATTTTGAAGTTTGGAACTGAAAGTAAGATGAAAACAGCCACAATTTTCACACTTCATATTCTTACCCATCAGGTTGTTACTCTATGCTAGAACCCCCAGTGAAAGTTAATTAAATGTCAGTATCTTTTATCAAGAATGATAGGCCATACCTAATCATTTAGACAGAAGAGTTTATCAGCAAATCTCTTCATAAACTATCCATAAAAGATGGAATCAGCAGCAAGTCAATGAAATGCATCCACCCTTCTGTGGTCTTTTAACCGTTCTGGCTGCTGGCAGAATCCCAGCGTATCAGTCCTAACTTAGTTCCTTACTTCTGTATACATGCAACCTGAAAATAAACTGTAGTGCTTGAGTAGGTTGACAGGTGTGGGCATTGATACAAATTGAGAAACAAACTTCTGTCCCATGAAACATGGGTTAAGGTGCTGCAAAAAGTTCACGAGAGAGGGTTTTATGAAAACTGCATGCTTTCACCTATTTTCACACACCAAAATAAGTATATCTCTTAGCTTCCATAAAGTATTTGACGTTCCCACACGTATTCTTTTGTTACTCCTGGCTCACTTTTCCTCTTAAATTTGTGAAAATGCGTATTAAAAGTGGGTTGCAAAACTCGGTTCCTTATGATGGGTTCTGTCTAAAGGTAACTTACTTCATTAAAAGCTACACTTCTTCTGCATAAACAGTTGCACCCTCTGTTTAGGAGCTTAGTAGAGACTTAAATGGCATACTTTTTTTTTTTCAGTTCTAAGTAACTAAAATTTGTGTATCGCATTTTTAAAACATTTGAACTTTCATATGGGATTCACACATAAACATCAGAAACAAGAACCAAATGCTTAACTCTTACGTTATGACACTCATGAAAATTTGTTGAAATAAATTAGTTAATGAGATAGGTGACTTCTGTTGGCTGCGGATGTCAAGTGGTCGTGTGCATGCATGTATGCACGTGCATATGTGTAATGTGTTAAGTATAGATTCTTTTTTGCTATATATGTACATGCAAAGCCAATTGTTAAAATTGAAAACATTTCCACAATTAAATTTGGTTTCACATAATTACTTATGAAAATAATCCCTATTAGATATAGTCAAAGGGTACTTACCTTTTGTTACTAACATCTACATTCCCATTCTGTCTAATTTGAATCATGCTTGTCTTTAGATTAACAATTGCTAGTATTGCGTATTATGCATTTTGTTTATTAGTCACATGCGATTTCTGAATTTCAGTTAATTGAAGGCATTTCAAAAGCATTGAAATCGTAAACCATTCAGTTACTGAAAGACACTTCATGCATTTTAATAGACTTCCATTATGTGTTTTTACAGCAAGCTTAGTAGTGGAGGAGCGAACAAGACAGATGAAAATGAAAGTGCATCGATTTAAGCAGACAACAGGGTCTGGTTCTAGTCAAGAACTTGATCGCGAGCAATATTCCAAGGTAAAATTAGTAGTATTAAACTAATAATTTCTATCTTGTAACTGTCAAGTGTGTGCACCAGGCAGGATTAGCAAATGCCAATTTATATTCATAAAGGATAGGCTATAATTAAATGGCAGTCTTACATCATCATTTCACCAAATTCTGAAATGCATCTTCCCTCTTGACATGTTCATACAATATAAATTTCTTGATATACCTGTCCAGTTGGATTTGATATTTTTGAATATAAAGGAAATGTAATGTAAATACTTGATATTAAAATCATTTGATGATCAATTCTCACTAGTCAAATTCATATTAGTACTGTAGAAGAAGCCAGTTTGTCACTTAGATGTCATTTAAATGTGGTAATTACTGATTTGTATTGATAGTCTTAAATGTTTTGAATTGATAGCAACAATTGAGTTTATTAACGAATGATAAAAATCATATATTGTGATATTCATTGCTGATTTCTTCAATAAGCTGATTGATTTCAAAGTTATAAGGTGAACTTCACCAATTCAAGGGCCACTAATAGTTACTTTCTATTTTTATATTCTGTGGAAACACTAGCAAGTTCATTGATTGCTAGTTATATATCTAGTGATTTTATTTGAAATAGCATAAAAATCTATAAATTCATCAGGTAATTTTACACATATTTCTTAGTGAAAACCCTTTTAAACATTTTAATTTATTATTATTATTATTTTCTGCTTATTAGAAAGGGAGACAAGAAAAGAGATAAATAAACAGAGAGCTCTTCCATGTGCTTGTTCCCTCCCCAAATAACCCACTACAGGTCATGCAAATGGGAGCCAGGGACCCAAGTGCTTGAGCTGTCCAGGGTGCACATTCACAGGAAGCTGGAGTCAAAAACAGAGCAGGATCTCACCCAAGCATTTCAATATGAAATGCAAACACTCAAAGCAACATCTTTTTTTTTTTTTGATTGATTACAGTGCATCATGCGACACAGTTTTACAGGAACTGGGATTCTACCCTCCCCTCCCCAAAACCCGCTCCCCTCTCCATGGTGGATTCTTCCATCTTGTTGCATTACAACAGTTCAAATTCAGTTGAGATTTTTTCCTTGCAAGCATCTACAAAGCATAGAGTCCGGCATCTTATTGTCCAGATAAGTTCAACAGTTTCATGGGGAGACAGTCTCTGATCTGAAGGTACAGCCGACAGAGTATCATCCCAATCAATTAAAAGCCCCGACATTACATCAGTAACAATTTATAACGTAATGGAATTAGTTGACATGGTATTGTGTAACCAGCATGTTCAAAGAGAGAGAGAGAAAAAAAAGAGTGCAAGTTCTGAACCACATCCTATGACTTCCACATTGACATTACAATTATTAGTTTATATACAACTGGGTTCTATACACCTTAAAACGGCTATAGATTACTATTCAGCTGTCTCATGTCTATTTTAATTTTAGTATTTAGCAGTTTATAGCATTGAAGCATGATTTTGCAGAACCTAGCTGTTTTTCGGGTAGTCTAACTCTATAACTGTAACAAGACATATGTCAACAGTTTAGGTGAACGGTTTTAGGAGGGGTGTGCAGAGAAATCTTCAATACCCTAGTGAGGAGTAACTAATCTTCGTGTCCCACCCAGTGAGTTATAAGTGCATCCCCACTGCCCATTTCCTGTTTCTAAGCTTTCTGTGCTGTTCTCCATCTATTCTAGGGTTTTTTGTTGTTGTTGTTGTTGTTGTTGTTGTTTATTTGTTAGTTTGTTTTGAGGGGTTTCTGGAGCAATCCTGATGGTCATTATGAGTGAGAGGGTGGGGACCCAAAGTCGTCACCAGGCAAGAACCAGAGAAAGCTCCTCTCCCTAGTCCCGAAGGAAGTTTACTGTTTTGTTTCTGTGGACCGCTCAGTGCTCCTGGTTGTCATTCCGATGACCTTGGATCCTGCAAGGCGGGGTATGGGCTTTTTCCATCCCATGTGGGAGATCCAGATGGAGATGGGTGACCTCAGAGTTCTCGGCCTCCGAAGGCACTCCAATTCCCCGTGGTCTCCTTGGCAGTTGGGATGTAGCCCTCGGAGCTCGTACTGATAGTCCTTGGTGTGGATCTAGGTGTCTTCAGGGTTGGGATACATTCCTCTTCCTGTCTGCCTGCTCCACTCTGGGGTCCCCCCCCTCAAAGCAACATCTTTAGAGACTTATTTATTTTCATTGGAAAGGCAGATCCATACAAAGGAGATACAGAAAAAAATCCTCCATCTGCTGGTTCACTCCCCTAGTGACTGCAATGGTTGGAGCTGAGCTGATCAGGAGCTAGGAGATTCTGGATACAGGTCCCAAGGCCTTGCATCATTCTCCACTGTCCTCCCAGGCCACAAGCAGGGAGCTAGATGGGAAGTGGAGTAGCTGGAACACAAACTGGCACCCAAATGGGATCCTGACGTGTCTAATGTGAGAATTTAGCCACCAAGCCATCACACTAGGCTCATCTTTGTTTTTTTAATATCTATTTTTTATTGAAAAATCATATACACAGAAAGAAGGAGAGAAAGGGAGGAAGAGCCCTTGTCTGCTGACCCACCCACAAAGTAGCCACAATGACCAGAATTGAGTGATCCAAAGCCAGGAGCCTGGAACTTCTTCTTGGTCACCCACACAGGTGCAGAGTCCAAAGGCTTTGGGCCATCCTCCACTGTATTTCCAGGCCACAAGCAGAGAGCTGGACAGGAATCAGGGCCACTGGGAGTAGAATCAGCACCCATATGAGTTCCCACCAAGGCCCTCCTCTGGCAACACCTTAACAACTGCTACAAATATAGCAGCAGTCAGTATAGGACAACCTTTGTTATAGTTTGCTTTCAATTTATTTGTGTAATGAGTTAGTAGAAATTAAAGTAGGCTGATACAATGACTCATTGCCTAAATCTTTACCTTGCATCTACCGGAAATGCATATGTTTGCTGGTTCCTGTTCTGGTGGTTCTACTTCCTATCCAGGTCTCTGCGAATGGCCTGGGAAAGCAGCAGAGGATGACCCAAAGCCTTGGGACTCTGTATCCATGTGTGAGACCAGGAAGAATCTCCTGGCTCCTGGCTTTGGATCAGTTCAGGTCCAGCCATTACAGCCACTTGGGGAGTAAGCAAGCAGATGAAAGATCGTTCTCTCTATTTCTCCATCGCTCTGTAAATCTAATCTGCCTTTCCAAAAGTAAATTTAAAAAAGTATATATAAACCCTTAAAAAATCAAAAGTAAATAAAAACTGGATTGAATCAATATTGCTAGCTTAAAATACAGACCTAAAAACACTTATTTATTTTTAAATAATGAAGATGTTTCATTTTATAGTGAAACATTCAGTAGCTAATAACCAAAAAAAAAAAAAAAAAATCAGCTACAAAATATCACTGAGGCTGCCCTGGATTTGGGTGTTGTGTCTCTCCTTTCTCACATTACGTTAGTTAGAGATGGAGTTTCAACTCAGTTAGTGCAGAGCATCACTGTTCTCCAGGGCTGCACCAGCTTCCACAGCACGAGACCTCTGAAAAAGTACAATAGCAAGGTATTAACAAGATACCTTGATGTGCCGCCGAGTTGCTGACCAGCTCTGTACCAGTTCTGTGCAGCATGTTCTTTGTGGTATTATCATCTAATCAGCTTACTTGCCTGCCTTCTTCACAAACATCTTCATTTGTTTACTTCCACTATAAATACATAAAACTTAGAAAGCAGTATATAATTTACGGTTGTTCCAGTTGTTGTTGTTCCTCTCCACAGTTGGTTGCATTAAAGTGATAGCTTGTTTATACTGGAAATGCTTCATTAAATGTGGAAACATTTTATCCATTTCTTATGTGTAAGGATGAGGTTAAACATGTGGTGGGGTGAGGACAGGAATTAAGAATGACTCAGGATAAAATATTGAAAGCCATTCTGAAGCAGAACAATTCTGAACTGACCCTAATGATTATTCAATTTCTAATTTTTAAAAAATCTGAAAATCAAAGTACTTTAAAGTCTGACACACCAGCAGCATTTAGAACTTGACAACACCTCAGAATAATCTTTGGCTCTAGCCTACTTATTGACCAAAATTGTGAAGTCTGCAGCTCAGGGGAAAGGCAGTGTGAAATCTCTGCAGGAGATCAAAGCAACTGATTTGGAACAAAGGCACCACTTTATTCTGCTTCTTATATCCTTGAAATGTTCCCAGGCTTGATTCAAATCTCACAAGGTGTTTAATTTACATACAGTTTCTTTCTTTCTCTCTCTCTCTCTCTCTCTCTCTCTCTCTCTCTCTCTCTCCCCCTCTCTCTCCCTCCCTCCTTCCCTCCCTCTCCCTCCCTCCCTCCTTCCCTCCCTCTCTCCTTCCCTCCTTCTCCCTCTCTCTTCCCATTCTTCCCACCTTCTCCCACACCAGCATTGCATTTGAGTATTTTTTTTAAATTAAAACAGTTACAGGAAGAAGGAAATACAGAGAGAAGAGAAATCTTCCATCATTCCTCAAATGGCCAAAATGGTCAAAGCTGAACTACAGGAAGCCAGGAACTTCTTCCAGGTCTCCCACATGGGTGCAGGGGCCCTAGTACTTGAGCTGGATGGGAAGTAGAGCAGTCATGACATGAACTGGCACCCATGTGTGATGCCGGAGCTGTAGGTGGAGGTATAGCCTGGTAGGCCACCATGTTGGCCTCAACATTGAATATTTTTTAAATGATGGGGGCAAATGCACTAATCCTCTGTCCCGCAATGCTGACATTCCATATAGGCACCTGTTTGTATCCCAGCTCCTCCACTTCTGATCCAGCTTCCTGTTAATGGCCTAGGAAGGCACTGGAAGATGGCCCAAGCCCTTGGGACCCTGCACCCATATGGGAGACCTAAAAGAAGCTCCCGGCTTTGCATCAGCTCAGTTCTGGCCATTGTAGCCATTTGAAGAGTAAAACAGCAGTTGGAAGACTTCTCAGCTTCTCCTATCTGTGTGAATCTGCCTTTCAAATAAAAATAAATGAATCTTTTAAAAAAATGTTCAAATATATTACTTTTGCTCCTACTATCTGAGTTGATAATTACTGTACTACTTAAATAAATGATTATAGCCTATAATATCAATAAATGTGAACTCAGATGTTTCTGCTTTTAAAATTTATAATAATATGACATAAGAAAAATATTAAATAGGAAACAAATGAATATCTTTAAAATTTTACATATTCAGTAAAAGATAAATATTCCCCCATATATCTGTTATTCAATTTGTGGACAAATGCTCACAATGGGATAATTTGATAGTTTCCATTGTCTTTCACTTCAATCATGACTAACTCATATACTTGAGAAATGAACTGTTTAAAATTGCTTTTATGTTTAATATAAAACATTTTATAATCTATTTCAAATGTCTCTATTAACTGCTATTGGGATTATCATTAATTTAATTTAGATTATAGTTGAAAATTCTGGCAAGTAGAAATTATTCTTTCTCAATTTCTTTTGACTTTTAAAAAGATTTATTTGTTTGAAATATGTGGCACCAGTAAACTAGGTGTTTTTTTCTGAGCGAAACAGCTATCTGACAGTTATAATTCCTGGGATGCTTTTTGAAACACGGTGCTTCTTTTGAAAGATTACAGGAACCAAACATCATCCATCCTGAGTGAGGAATGTGCACTCACTTTGTTTCTGAAAAAATAAACCTTTTTTTATTTTTCTTTTTTGCATCTTGAGTGTATGTCCCCATGCTCTTGTTTCGTCAGTGACCTACAGAGTTGCTTGCCTAAATGATGGCCTGAAGTTCATTAGTGCAGGGTAAATTCACTTTGAGTCATTCTCACATTTTCAGAAATGCTTCTGTTACTTCACCCCAGGGGCAGCAACCAAGATTGATGGGATGGGTTTAGAAGGTAGCTGTGGAATGTATATTATTTCTTATTCTGAAAATAGTGTTTCTATAATTAGAACTTCCTTTTCCATAGAAGACTTAGTTCTCTGATGCATCGTCAGTATGAGTTCCTTCTGAGGATATTGGTTTCCCAAAAGCATAGTTGATGTTTTTCCATTAAAATGTTTTGTTTTTAAATAGAAAATTCAATGAATTAATGAAAAGTCAAAGTGAGTAAAGCTTTAGCATATTATTTAAAAAATAAGTGAAGCAGTAAAAAGTGAATATAAAAACATTTCATGTACTTAAAATAGCTGTTGTGATGAAAATTGTTGTCGTTATTTATCTCTATACAGAAAATGTATTAGACCATTTGTAAGACTCTTCCTTTGTCTCTTTGCTGGAATCATAGATAGAAGTCCACAAACACATGAAGGCAGAGATAGACTACAGAAAAAGAAGACTTTTTTCAGTAGAAAAAATATTTCCATAGACATTCACATGTGTTTTTGCTGTGCCTGTACTATAATACTAGCAATTATCAAATAAGAGGATCATTTGTTTTCCTATCAACCTAATGCTGGAAAACCCCTACATTTGGCACAGTTCCTCACCTTTTGTAAAAAAATATTTATATATTTAAAAGTCAGAGCTGCAAAGAGAGAGAGACCAGCCATCTGTTGGTTCACTCCTCAGATGGACACAAGCATCAGGCTTACCTGGCCAAAAGCAGGTTCCAGGAGCTTCATCCAAGTCTTCTGTGTGGCTGCTGAGGCACCAACACTTGGGTCACATTATGCTGCTTTTCCCAGACCTTTAGTAGAGACAGCTGAATTAGAAATAAAGCAACCAAAACACAAACCGGCCCCCAGAGGGGATGCTAGTTTCATAGGTGCCAGCTTGAACTGCATACCATGACAATGGCCACAGTGTTTCTGCTTTAAAATCAGCCCTTTTTGTGTGAGGAGCTACAGTTTTAAATAAACTTCAAAGACAGAATATGATGCCTTAGAACAGGGAAGGTCTATAGGATACTTTTAAAAAGAATGAAATATTAACAGAAGCTGCCAAAACTGTGACTACAATAAAACGTGGATGAAATAGGCAATATTGAAACCAACAAGAAAAAAAAAAAAAACCTGATATCCTGGAAGAACAGAATGATATGATTTTAAATTTTCTGTCTAATCATTGAATTTTTGGATTTCATATATAGTTCAGTCTTCATAGTACGCATCTTACCACTCAGAAGATGGAAGATTTAGGACCAGAAATCATTCTATGATGTTCACATTTGGGTTATTTATGTTCTATGTCCTGCTTTTGTAAAGTTGCATTTCTGTTTTGTGTGGGCTAAGTAAACATTAACTGCAGCATTTGTGTCTGCTGTTTCTGTGGTCTGATGATGGTGCTCACCCTTTCTTGTTTTCAATATTTAGTATAGCATACATGCAGATCAGTACCGAAGCTGTGATAACGTCTCTGCCAAATCATCAGATAGCGATGTCAGTGATGTGTCTGCCATTTCCCGAACCAGCAGTGCCTCACGCCTCAGCAGCACAAGCTTTATGTCAGAGCAATCTGAGCGCCCCAGGGGTAGAATCAGGTGAGTTGGAAATAATTCTTACATAGACTCAGTCTTTGTCCTCAGCAGAAAATGTGACCATCTTCTTGAATATATTTTCCAGAATACAGTTAAGGCCAAATAGCAAATGTCTCATTATCACTGAGTTAGGTGAACATTTATCAGTTATGATGCAGTGTCATCAACAGACAATCTGAACTGTCAGATTGTAACCATCAAGGTAGTTTTGCAGAACACTCCTAGTCACATGACAGAAGTTTCCTCTAACAAGACCAAATTCGTAGAGCATCTTTCAGTGTGGTATCAAAATGATTCTTATGGAGATCTGGATAGTAAATATTCCAAGCTTTTTAGGACAGTCTCTGTTGCAAGTACTCAACAATATCAGTGTAGTATGAAAATGCACATACATACATATATATGTATGTATATATTTGTGTATATACATATATATACATATATGTACATATCCGCATCCAGGCATGTGTGTGTATGCTGATTGAGTGATTGATTTTTAGAGAAATTTTGTACCTCCTCCCCACCATAAAAAGCAGATCCTGAGGCCAGGTTTCCTCTATAGCCTGTAGTGTTCCATTAGTCTCTTAATAATGTATCTCTTTTCAGGATAGAGTTTATTGATATTTTAAAAACTACATATACCTACTGTATTTTATGTAACTCTTCAGAAGTATGTATTATTTGTTTGAATTACTAATTGTAATCCAGTGCTCCTACAAGGCAAATGTAAGGGCATTTCATGATGTTCATGGAAATAATAGAATGCAAAAGTAAATTTTTTGTGACTCAAAAGCAGTTGTAATCCATGCATAATTTTTTCATGCTGATTGTTAATAAGACCCCCAGTCCACATGCTGGCTGCAAAGGGTTAGATCTCAGAATCTGAATGCTGTCAAGAGTGAAGCGTATTTTCTGTTTTCCTTAATTCGTTTTCAGAATCAGAAGTTTCTATGTAGGAATTTGGGGTTCAATGAGAGGCTCAATAAATGTAATGTTAAAAATAAGAATCCTCTAAAAGCTTAATATTATTACATAACTTGGTGGCATACATTAAACTACATCTTTAAAGATTCCTTCTTTGTTTTCCCTTCACTTTGCTTGACTGATGAAGCATGTTGAAAGTAGCTTTCTGTCATTTAGCATATAATTAATAATTATCTTTGATAATTAAACCATATAGGCAATTGCATCTGCTAAAGACATTAATACAAAATGCTTTATCTGTGCTTCTGGTTCTTATAAAATATAATGTTCTTTAAATTGGAAAAGTATAAGAGCTGAAGTAGCTAACAATGTTGAGCGACTTAGGACCAAAGGGTAAAATAATTCTGATAGATTTTTTATTTAGAAATTAATATTATTAGCTTTCAAAATCAATAAAATATTATAGGATATTGATAAATAGGATGTAACCAAGGACCTGTTGTTCACTTCTAAGCACTAAAATTCGTTTAGTAGATAATTATGTAATCATAAATTTTGGAGTAAATTATATTCATTGCAGAGCCAGATGCCTTGAATCCTGTGCTATAACATATAGCTAGTTGGTAAAATTTATATAACAAACTAATCAAAGGATAAACTGTGATTCCATTTTTATTCTCTTGAAATTTTAAGAGAATAATATTCTCTAGAAATTTATGTTCAGAAAACTAGGTGCCTAATTTTATGGGAACAAACCAGTGAACAGAGAAACCTAAAGGAGTTCAGTGTAAAGGACTATGATTTTATCAAAAAAAAAAAAAGGAAAATGTTTATGTTAGTGTGTTAGGAAGCAGCATTACTTTGTAGGAAAAGTGTTACCTTAAATCAGTACTGATTTTACCTTGTATCATAGCAAGAAGGAAAGCATTGTGTATTCCTTGCTTTCTTGATTTTTAGAATATTTTTTGTTTAGTAAATGTGTTCGGGAAAGGATAGATTTAACTCTATAGAAATAAATTTGATAAATTATTTTTTTCAAGACATTTCTCTGCTAAGCTTCTTCCCCTCCTCTGGAGATGAAGCACATATACTCTAAGACAGATTATTTTATTTAAGTGGATTAGGTGCAATACTTTCTAAAGCTCATGGCTAAATATGTTTTCCCTCAAGGCCAGATGGAGATCTTACTTTTCTGGTAATCTTACATTTTACCAATCCATATAACTGGTATATATTCCATCTTCTTAAAATATTTAGGAAGGATAGAGAAAAAATGGGGTAGAGGAGGGAACAAGTCTTTTCTGATGATCAGAGGAAAATTCTTTCATACACATTCTTCTTTGTACTCTCATAGATGGACACCTGTACACCTGTATGACAGACCTGTAATTCACTAATCCAGACACACACACACACATCCCACAAGAAATGTTTTGCTTCTACCATCCCTATCATATGATAAATTCCTGAGAGGATGGTTTGGAGTCAGAGGTGAAGATAATAGAAACATCAAATTGATCTTGTCTAACTAGTGAGGGTCAGAGGTTATAGGCTATTCAGCTGTAAATGTTCACCATTCCACAACTAATGCTTGGAAGAATAACTGTTGACAATATGTTGTCATTTTTTATTTCTTTATTTTTCAGTATCTATATTCTGCACATTTTTCACAATCCTACTTATGTTCATGATTACAAGACTCATCAATTGCAATGTTATGCTATATTATAAGTTATAATAAATAACTGCAAACTTTCTGAATTCCTATTATGTATAATGACTGTATTGTTTTATAACATTGCATAAACTGCAAAACTTAGGCTACATACTCAACAATATTGTTATCTGTTTAAAGTTCGAAACTTTTTCTTTGTATTAAAAGTCTCTAGGTATCTCTAAATATTAAAATTCTCTCAGTGTCTGTTTATGTTAAAGTTCACTAGGTGTTTCTAGGTACCTCAGATTGTTCTGTGATTCAAGAAATCTTTCATTATGCATTGCCATCTATGATTTTTATTTTGGTAGTCAATAAATGGATTTGAAGATGATGTAGCCTTACCCAGAGACAGTGTTTTAACATATCAGGAGCAATTGGCAAAATATGATGAATTAAAAGTTACTCTGAGATGTTGCTGTCACAGATTAGAAGTTATTCAGAAACTCAAAGATAATTCCACAGTAATAAAAAGTCACCAATGCTGTACAAAAGGAGTTGGCATTTGTGGCAAAGCAAGTTAACACACAGTTGCAATGCCAGCAGCCCACAGCTTAGTGCAGATTCAGATCCTCACTGCTCTATTTACAATCAAGCCTCCTTGTCCAAACAAGCCACCTGTTATTGTACATGGGAAGGCAACAGCGGACCGGACAAATACTTGGTCCCCTGCCACTCAGGTGAGAGACCAGGGAGTTTATGCCTATTGGATCAGCTTCGCCAGATGAGGCTGTTGCAGGGCATAAACCAGAGCATGGAAGACCTTTGTATCTCACTCTCTCTCTCTCTGTTACTCCACCTTTCAAATAAATAAGACAAAATATAATACTGCAAATAATAAGCACTGAAAATATTTGAGATTTTCAGTATTTCAGATTTGCTAAATGTGAACCATACAGTTTTAATTCAGTGCTGGCATAAATATGCCTCAAAGAATGTGTTTTCAGGTGTACGTAAAATATGCACAGCACATATTGGTAAAGGTAAAATGATATCTAATAAAAATGTACATGCAACATAATTACAAATGAATCATGTTGTATCTGACTTTTCTGTTTTTATATCTCAAGAAAATGATCTTTCAGAAAACAAGCTGAATTTTCATGATACTGCTCTCACTTATTTGCCCTTCATCACATACCTGTTGCTTTGCAGACAAATTCCAGGTGGTTTATACAAAATCAAACATCAAAAAGCAATTGTAAAATTAATCCCCACAAAAAGCTATCAGATATTCCGCAATGTTAGAAGGTTTGTCATAACCAACCATTTTTTTTCATCATCATTTAAATGTGTAACATAGTCTGCAAAGTTGGCTTTCTCTTACTAAGTGGATTCTAAAAACAAACTTACACAGCAAGTGTGATTAAGTAGCTTTTGATCTCAGAGAACACTAATATTATAAAAACTATTTACAATATGTACTTATAATATTATGTACTGTATTATATAATATGAAATACTATTTATTTAGAATATTTTAAAGCTATCATATTCTGAAATGGTGCTTTCTACTTCAGAGTATCAGATGGTTGACTTACAGGAGAAGCCTCACAGCTGTATCAGGCAGGGGCACAACTGAGTGATCATGTGTAGGGAATTGCAGTCAAAGCTCTTCAGGCTAGGTTGCAAAGAAATAAATTGATGCAACATGATTAAAATGTATACATTTTCATTACTAAATATAGTTCTAGAAGCAGCATAATTGGTATGGATCATTCTGTCCTTGTTTATAAAATAAGCAAAAATGTGATAGTCCCAATCATAGCAACACATCTTTTTTTGTAAAAATATTGATTTAATTACTTATTTATCTAAAAGACAGAAGAAGAGATAGAGACAAAGAGGTGTCTTTCATCCACTAGTTCTCTCCCCAAATGGCTGCAGTAGCCAGGAGTGGGCTAGGATGAAGCCAAGAACCTGGAGATTCACCCAGGCCTTCTACTGTGGAGTTGGAACCCAAACACTTGATCTATCTTTTGCTGCTTTCTCAAGTGCGATAGGAACGAAGCCGAGACTTTAACTGGTGCCTATGTGGTGGGATGCTGGTACCACAGGCAATGACTTAATGTGCTGTGCCATGGCTCTGGGCCCAACAGTACAATTTATATCTCATTTCCCACATGTGAAATGAGAAATGCTGAATAAAAAATAATGAACAAAACTGTTGGGAGGCATATGAAAGCATTCACTCTTTAGGCAAAAATTTGAGTAGCTTCAATCTTTGAAAGAAGGGAAAACTGCATGGTAATACCAAGTATATCCCAGTTTCCTCTGAAAGTACTTCTACTTTAATGATATGTGATAACAAAGCCTAAACAGAGAACAGTGGTCTTTAAATAGCATAACACAGAAAAAGAAAGGG